GGGATGATTGACAAGAGGGCTGTAGGATTGTCCTGCCAGATGATTGACAGACAGGCTTTGGCACCTCCTGAGGGATGATTGACTGGAGGGCTGTGGGCATGTCCTGAGGGATGATTGACTGGAGGGCTGTGGGCATGTCCTGAGGGATGATTGACTGGAGGGCTGTGGGCATGTCCTGAGGGATAATTGACAGGGGGTGTGGGCATGTCCTGAGTGATGATCGACAGGAGGGCAGTGGGCATGTCCTGAGGGATGATTGACAGGAGGGCTGTGGGCATGTCCTGAGGGATGATTGACAGGAGGGCTGTGGGCACGTCCTGATGATTGACAGGGGGTGTGGGCGGGAAATGATGGATGACTGACACCATGGACACTCACCTTGGCTGTGACACTATCACAGTGCCCAAGGTCACGCCAGGGTCACAAGGTCATATAGGCATCGCTGTCCATCATGAAAGTGACCCCACCCACAGACACCAGGTCTCCGCCCCTCAAGCCCTCCCGTGGAAGGCCAGGAATCCCAGCATCCTTGTCCCATTCAGGCTCCTCCCCCTTCCCGTGGTGCTCCAGGACCAGTGCCTCCTCTGTGGGATCACAGACTTCTGGCTTGGCCATCAGGGTCACATGCTGTGTGTCATTGATCCACTCCTGGGAACGCAAAGGATCATGACATCAGGGGCGGGCCACAATGACACCTGTTTGCCCAGGAAGGGGAAGTCGGGAGCGAGTGGAGGCTCATGGGAGGGGTGAACAGGAGGATCATGGGGGTTGGCGATCACCTGGAAGTCGCCGCCGTGCTTCTCAAACAGCCCGGGGAAGCTGCCCTTGGGGTCGGGCACACAGGGCATCAGCACGTTCTTGACCCTGCAAGGGCGGGGCGGAGGTGGGGGTAGGGCTGACGTCACACAGGGTGGCCGTGAGGGTCTCTCACTGGCGCACATTGTGCGGTGCGCAACCCAGACAGGTCAGGGAAGGGGAACTGAGGCAGAGGGATGACCGTGAGTCAGGGGGGTGGGTCTGCGTGTGACCAGGCCCCCGCCCTCCACCAGGAGGCCCCGCGCCCTCCCCCAGCCCCGCGCCCTCCACCAGGAGGCCACGCGCCCTCCCCAGCCCCGCCCTGACCTCCGCAGCCTCCACAGGGACAGCAGCAGCAGCAGCGACGTCAGCAGGGTCAGGATGCTGCACGCAGCCAGGAGCTTCGGGAAAGCCGGGGCAGGCGGCTCCTGGCAGGACTCTGGGGCGGGGCAGAGGGGTCGCATGGCCCACGAGGAGAGCCATGATTGCCAGACGTCAGTCACCCACCGCCCGTCGGTCACCTGCCCCGGGACTCCCGACCCGCCCTCCCGCGGAGTCACCTGCGCGCCCCGCGGCTCGCCAGTGCGTCACGGGGGTCCAGTCGCTGGGGTGCGTCTCATGGCCGTACATGGACTCCTCCGTGGTGACCCGGGCCCGGAAGTCGTAGCAGCGCCGGAGGTCGACTCCGGCCACTGTGACGTTACATGTGTTCTTGGTGGACGAGGTCTGTGGACGGGGCATGGGACGGTGCTGTGACTCAGTCTCCCTCACAGACCGAGCCCAGGGCAGCGGGCTCAGGAGAGCACCTGTCCCGGGAACAGGACCCGACCTGGAAGCAGGGGTGGCGGGGTCAGGGCCTCGGGGTCGGAACCCAGACGGTGGGTCACACGAAGG